CAATTGCAGCTTCTTTGACTTCGTTTTTGAAAGAGTGAGTTGTTAAATTATTGTAGCATTGCATATACTTCAAATGACTTATTAATAAATTATCACTAATAAATTATTTAAAAGATTAATTTCTCGTGTATTTACCAATATTTCAATTTTAAGTATACACCTGTCCCCCGATTTACACGGATGATCGGTTCCTCAGAATACCGTGTAAATCGAAATCATGGCTTTTTGTGTGAAAAACCGTGTAAATCGGGGAAAAAACAAAATGAAAAATGAAAAACAAAAAATATTCAGGGTCAGGGTTTAGTTTCGAGCGAGCGATCGACGAAGGCGAAAATAGCCGGTCGCCAATGAAAGATCCGCGGCGGCAGCAAACTTTACGTTACAATATGAATGCTTTTTGTGTGCAAAAAAGGGGGAAATTCTGTTCATCTTTTGGTTTAATGCCGGTGTTAACAAACGAACACTAAAAAATGACTGTACAAATATGTGCGCAGCATAAACTTTTATTTTTAACAGTTTATATTTGTGAAAAGCCGTTATTTTGAAAATCGTGTAAATAAAGTACCGTGTAAATCGGGGGATAGGTGTATATTCAGTATCCACGTTATTTCGCATCTATTCATTGCAACAAATTATTTCCTCCAGAATAAAAGATTTGTCATATTTCTCAAAAAAAAAAAAAGGAGCGATCGTATCTGTACAAGGAGGAACAATCTAAAAGTAACTTTCAATACAGATAATAAAAAAGAAGAAAAAAGGTGGAGGAAATTGTAACAGAATTTTACATCCGAGCGTTTGCCCGTTCTTCGAAACAGTTTCCCCTCCGAAGTTGGCGGTAATGTTCTTTGAATTGTATGCGAAACTTGGTTGACAAGCTTTCAAAGAGAGAAGAGATTGCTTAGACAAAACATTGCAATCAGTGCGCCGGTGACGCCTGTCTCGAGTCATCGTCGTCTGGCAAGTTACTAACAAACGCATACAGCCGCGTTGCGGCGCATCGTGTCGCGCTGGAACGATCTCATTCCCCTTATTTGATAACGATAAGCATCGTTTCAAAACGTACCGTCGAAGTTTCGCCGCGATTGCCCCGATGGCGACTAGGTATCGGAAGTATAGGAGTTTGGTAATGTGTAACTGGAACGGACAAACAGCGTATACGTATCATCTTTCGAATCGGTAGTATTAGTGTCAGGTTGTTATCGTCATACTTTCCTCCGCGCCGCTACCACGCAGGTACGTCATGTTTCATATTGGAAAGCGGAAACGGAAGAAGGAAAAATTCTGACGATAGTTTCGAACTTGTTTGCCATACTTTTCGAAGAACTTTGCCGTTGGTAATGCCCATTATATTTCCGTATTCATTCGATTCGGAGATTTCGTCCGACTATTTTTTACCAGCCAATTCGTGTAATTTCCGATACGACAACAATCCATGGAAATCGTTGCTTAACCCTTTTATACCTGATTTCGTCTTCGTTCGTCAGAAGAAGTATTTCGGTTGATTATGTATCTTTTTTTATACAGTTTCACGGGAGTAACAAGAATAGATCTAGAAAATAATTGCTATGAAAATGTGTAACAATTGTTATTCAAAAATACAGTGCAATGGTGTAACGATAAATAAGTAGATAAATTTCAAGTCACATGGAGTTATAAAGGGTTAAATATATTTTACGAACCTAATAATTAAGTACGCCGTGTGAAGTAGAAATTTACGAAGAATATTCCAATATAAATAAGAAAGTAACCACTGGAAGTCTTGGCCGGAAATAAAAAGTAGTATTAAATAGACTCGTTGTCAGAATAGGTCACACGGAGTTCACACGTTCATATCTACTCTCTAAAACCAACCCTTCAACTTTGATTATATGTAATTGCCAAATAACCGTAACATAAATTATCCCTTCTATTACGACAGAAGCGTAAGTTACAGCGTTATAAATAACGGGAAACTTATTTCTATACGCTTGAGAAGTAATACGAAAGAAAAGAGAATTGATGAGAAAAATGTGAGCGTGAAAGGATTAAGAATAATTTATCACAAAGTATACGAAACTGAATTATAATTTTTCATATTTCTCTAAAATACACAAGAAACGTAGTTTTTCCGTTTAATTGTTAATTAAAATATTACCATGCGACGACGCGTAACAATCAATTTTCGCGTACTTGAGATAAGGTAAAATTTAGTAGCGGAGAAAAGGACAAATTGGTTGGGTGACCGAGAAAGAGGGATGCCGCTACGATAGACATCCGCTGGAAGGTGAATTCAATTAATTAAGGAAAGTGCCGCAATTAATTGGCGCGGAGTATAGAGCATGGTAGGTTTGTCCGAAAGCAGTCCCAGATTAAGTCCTCTCTTGTTTTTTCTGGTTCCTGAAGACTGGTAGGAGGCGGTGAGAGAAAAAGACGTGTAAAAGAAAAACGAAAGAGGGAAAAAACAGGTGAAACAGGAGGGAGAAAGAGGGACTTTACGAGGCAGTTCGGGGACATTCTTGATTTCGATGTTGAGAAGGCACCCGACGAGAACCACTTGAATTTAACGAGGCTCCAGCAAATGGGCCACCCTGCAGACTTGCCTCCTTCTTTTTCTCTACACACGATGCTTATACCCACTCTCGTGTGGCTCGCAAACGAAAAAGGCGGAAAAACTCGTGATCGTGACATCGTACTTTCTACCGGCAACCGTCTATCAATTAAAACGAACTTCGTCTCGTAACCGAGGCGAAAATTAATTATTATGCGATACTTTTTCATCTCTGATGAACGAACCGTGGCCTGTGCGTAACGTGACCGTTTGGAAAGCGCTAACGAATCACAGGAATGAAAATACACGAGTTCTTTTTCGTATCTTCGGTCATATTTGAATCAACGTTCGAATCAACATCTACCACCGATTCAGTGTTTTCTTTTTTCTCTCGCCTTTCATTCATTCGTTGCAAAGTGTTATCGAACGGTGTTATAATTTGGGAAGTATCGAGAAAACGTAAGGTGAAAATACGCGCAATCTTTCTCATATCTTCGTGTGAACTTCGATCAACGTTTGAACGATCTACAATCGAATCAATAATTTGAATTGAACATTTGAATTATCTGCGAGCAAATCTTTTTCATATCTGCGTTTGAGCTTCGATCAACGTTTGAATTATCTGCAATCGAATCAATGTCTGCCAGGGATTTCGACAACAACGAATGGCAGTGTTTTTCCTTTGCTTTGTTCATTTGTTGTAGAATGTTGACATATTTATTTCTTCAAATTTGTCGGCATTCGTTTTAATCTATCGTACAGTGTTCGTTTATAGCGGCATTTCCTTTCTTTTCATTCGTTTATCGTAAAATTGTCATAATTTTCAAATACTACACAGTTCATTCAGTTCTGCCAGTTTGTCTGCATTAATTTAAATTTCTACTGCAAAACTAGATCTGTTATTATTTAAATTAGATTTCAATTTCCACTACAAAAGAATTTTCGTTTGTAGCGCCATTTCCTTTGTTTTCGTTCAATTATTACAAAATTGTCGTTAACAATTAATTCATTTCCTCAAATTTGTCTGCATTAATTTAAATTTCTGCTGCAAAACTAGATTTATTATTATTTCCATTTCTAGCGTCGCTGAACAACTTATTCAATTCGTAACTTCCTAGAGATTGCATAATATCCTTACTTCGAACTAGAAACTCTCACGTCGGTCACTTGTCACAACCAGTACACACATTCGATAATCAACGAAACACCAAATAAAGCGTTCATTTCGAAACGTTAGCAGCATTGTTGTACTCGACAATTGTACAGCATTCCAGCTAAAATTACGTAAACAAGAATAATCGTGTTACAAGAACGGTATTCGCGATGCAGTCGTAACAGAAATGTACCCGTCCTTCCCGATAGAGCAAACTGAAATACGTCGATTGTGTACCTGTGAGTCAGCCCTTTTTTTTTCTTTTACCTTTGGTTATCCGGAACAAAGGACTCCCTGCTTCTCGATCGGCAGAATTTCATAATAGCTAGTGCGAAAGAAAAAGAGAGACACGCCGTGTTGCAGCGGGCATAGCGCAACGTTCGCAGTTCGGAGTCGAGGCACGACAAGACGCGCTAAGTGGTAAAGTACACACCGGTCGGTCTGTGCCTCCTTCATTAGCACCAACTAGCCTCGGCGGCAAGCTTAGTCAACCTTTTCTACCTTTCTCAGTGCCGAAGAGTGGCTGGAAGAGGGTCTCCGAGCATCGATGTAGGTACAACTCGCGCCATAAACCTCGACGAGGTCTCTTCTCGGAAATATGCCAGCTCGCATACCGAACGCACAAAACGGTTTACCTCCTGTATCCTGTGGTTTGTCCCCGATAACCGACGCTTTCGACTGATTTTATAAACTGCATTAACGTTTCCCCTGTTAACCGATTCACCCGTTCAACGGACAACGCGTTGTGAAACTTGGAAAAATGTCGCCTCGCTTGACAGTGCCCCGGAAGAAATTGTTGCAATAGCGCTTGAGCGCAACGCGTCTGTGAGTTGTACAGTTGACAGAATTCCGAAAGAAATTGTTGTAATAATTAGTGAACTGAATCAGTTGCGGACTGAAACTTTGGAAAATGTCACATTGCTTAACAGAGTTCCAAAAGAAATTATTGCGATACTTGTTGGATGCAACGCGTTGGGAATTGAAAACTTGAAAAGTGTCACTTTACCTAACAAAATTCCAAACTAAATTATTGCGATACTCGTTGGATGCAACGCGTTGGGAATTGAAAACTTGAAAAGTGTCACTTTACCTAACAGAATTCCAAAAGAAATTATTATAATAATTACTGGGCGCAACGCGTCGTGAATTGAAAACTTGAAAAGTATCATTTTACCTGACAGAATTCCAAATTAAATAATTGTAATAACCAAATAAACGATAAGTTTAGTATTCAATACTTTCTAATCACACTCCCAAGTAGGTACGCACATGTAATTCGTTCAATTTTATCATCATATTCGTTTGCATTTAATGTTACAGAAAAACTTACGACGCAGTCCGAAGATTTCAGTAGGAAATTGTACATCTTCGCGGAGAAGAGCCAGCGATACATTTGCTTCAACAAACGGTGGAAACTCGTCGGCCTGGTAATTACTTGCCTACCAATTAGTACACATATTTCATCATCGTGAATGAGCAAGTAAATTTATACATGCCAGTAAACGCATCAAACTTTACAGTTCGGACATTTATATTCATCGCTCACACTATCGCTTTTACTAGCAGTTAGCCGGATAACGTCCCTACCCTTTCAAACTGTACTCACGTCACAAATGAAGTTATTCAATCTTGATGATTTGAATTTTTAACGTGTTTCAATATACAGTTGGAGCAGAAAATTTACTTTTATTACACTACCGTCGTTGCACGTGAAATGACCGATTCGTAAATGAAACTTTGGACCCCGATAACGTAGTCGAAACTAAATTTTATTAATCAAAACGAGCTACAAGAAATTCGACATATTTCCGTCGACGAATTGCAAGTGAATTATGCAAATATGCAAATATCATACGCAATGATCTAGTATTTTAAAAAATCAAATATATGCGGTTATATATTTTCCTTAATAGATAAACCAAAAACAAGTAGAAAACAGTAAAAGATAATTTACAAATTTTTATGAAATGATACATTTCAATACATACACTACCATTCAGAAGTTTAATCGCATCCTTGAATAGGAAAAAAGATGAATTAAAGCAAGATATCGATATAAAATTTTGAATTCGGTAAATGAGATTTCAATTTCATCGACTTACGGATAGGAATGAATTGAAAAGAATTACAAATTATACCACACTTTTAGATTGCGCGATTAACCCCTTGCCTTGCGATTTTTTAGTCGCTACGTATGTTAGCCTCGGCTTTAAATAAAAAGAAGTCATGACTTTATTGCTCGGTCTCAAATTGAAGCTGAAGTTAAAGCAAAAATACAAATTTAATAGACATATGATCCACTCGGAAGCCAAAATGCCTAACTCCGTAAAACAAAATTTACTAAATTCGTTCTGTTTATGAAAAATTAAGCATAAAGCAAGTGCTTCGATACTAAAATTGGAAGGATATGAAAAAGTGGAGTTGATCATTTCTCCTTCTTTCGTCCCATCTCGATCATAATCTGTACCACGAATAAGACTCGTTATTACAAGGCAAGTGGTTAAACCAACGAACGGTAGCGTATGCAATGCGCAAAATGATCTGCATTACCTACAGAAGATCCGTTTCTCTGTTTCCAGCCTAAAAAGCAAAAAGGTCCTATGTGTCAGTTCTACGAGGACTACAACGGCTCGTATCTGACGTACAGAAGCGTGGTAGATAGTTCACGGTATCTCGGTTTCAACAAGTTCGGCAAGCCGATGAAAAATCTTCACGGCCGACAGGAGTGTTTCAATTTCATCAAGTACAACCCCCATGCTGACATAAATCACCACAACAGCCTGGTGAACGCGGACATGGGCGGGATGGAGCCATGGGATCCTTACGTTGTATCGAGGAAGCCGTCGCCCATGATGAGGGCCACGAAGAACTCTCTGTTGCAGGCCGACAGTACGAGGGAGATCGTTCATACGACGCACCGTTATCGGCACTCGAATCGCTGGAAAATGCGCCAGGGTGAGAAGGTCTCAGCATCACGGAGACGACACGAGAGTCGTCTTTTCGTCGAGGCCAATAAGTATTGAGCCGCGTACTGGCTCGCCGATCAAGACTGCCTCATCCACATATGTGAGAACCTGAGATCAGACTGCCAAATACGCCGGTGGAACGTACGGTCGAGATATCAGGGACCCACTAAGCGGCACCACATGAAATGCGGCTCGAAGCGCGCGCCTCGATTGATCGCAACGAACAAAGCTGGCTCGCCTCGTGTCTCCTGGTTGTTTGCGTACGTTCACCCTACCAATGGCATTTCGCTATACAGCAACAACAACGAATATCGTTTGCATAACGAACGTACCAAATCGCAGGAAGACAGTCTTGCTGGGTAGAGCTTTTCATTATTGCGTCGCTAAATTCCATTTCACACTTGCCCCGACTGAATCCTTTTCAGGCAAGTATGCACGATATCATAGTTTCTCTCTTTTCGTTCCATCGCTAACCAAGTGTTTCTTTCTCTTTTTTATAATACGATTAGTTAACTAACCCGCCGCCGCCGGGCGGCCGGGTGTTTCCTTTCATTTCTCTCACCAATTTATCAAGTCGCACCACGTTCTCTCAATTTACGTTCTCGAAATTTCATATTAGAAGAAGAATAATCAAGAGAACGGTGTATAGAGTTTCTGGGGGAAACGCGAATTCGTTGAAGAAAAAAATACTCTAGAATATAAGTTGATCGTTTAGCGATGGAAAAAGTAAAAATAAAGTAAATAAAACAGTATATGTTACGCGCGATCGGCCTAAATCGTTGCGCAATCGGACAGCTACCGTGCTTCAAGCGCTGTCACAGACCGCAATAGGTGCGCGGAGAGATGTACGAACATCGCAACGTCCATGGAAGTATTTTCTTCCGGTCGAATTTTACTATTCCCTCCGGGTAGTTGGAATCGGTCTAATCGCATTTTCAAAGGGAAAGGAAAAACGTAGAAATATTCGGATCTCTGATATGAAACTGATAAAAATCGAATCTTAAGTGTCGTATGTCGTGAATGTTCCTTTTTATTCTACCGAAATTATCGTGATTGTACATTCGTACCTACGTCGTTAATCCGCGGACGATGAAAATTTGTCTCTGGAAAGGGAATACTTCCGAGATAGAGGCGTTCTAAGAATGTGTAAAACTCTCTAGCGTGCTCCGGGCAGTAGAGCTCACGCCGCGCAAGACTCTCTCGCTCGCTGTGCTAATTACGCCGCCTAAAGTAGCGTGCGTGCGTGCATGCGTGCCTGGCTAACCTGCGTGTATGAATAATGTGTGCGTGCGTGCTCGCGACGTACACGCAGTTCTCACCGTCGCGTTGATTGTCGAAGATTCGCGGTTTGCGCTCGTTTGCCGAATCGCTACACTTTATCAACGGCTCTGCTCCATTAACCTAGCCCACTTTTTACCCTTATTCTAATCGATCTTACTTAACGGTAACGGAAGTTAACGCGAATTGTGTGCGTGTTGCGGATATATGTATATTCGCGCGATTTGTCCATACGAGGAAAACGACGTATATACACACACAACCAAAACACGCGGCAAACAGACACAATTTTTTGACAAATAATCGGTATACAACTTTTTCCAGGAGAGCAACCATGCGACAGCGCATATATATTTTTAGTAAACTTATTCAGGAGCCAATCTCTAGACAACGGACAAGTTAACGGGGGGGTAAAAGAGAGAGAGAGAGAGAGAGAGAGAGAATGAAGAAGATGACGAAGAAAAAAAGAAAGAAAACGGGATCTCTGAATATTTTATACGAGATGTACCTATTTGAAATACGATTACTTTCGACGTGAACTTTTTCTCGCATCGAGCATTTGTAATTCACACAGAAAATCTATTTTCTGATAGGAATGAGAGTGAGATTAGTATTTGAGAGTATCGGCTTAAACTGCGTGTTCGTGTACGAGCTTAAAAGTATTTGTGTGCATTTTTTGCGTGCGTACGTATTTGCCTCTGAACGCGTGTGATTGCGTGTAATATATTATATGATTGTTAAATGAAGTTAATCCTTAGGACGCTATCGCAGACTGTATTACTAGGTTAGGTACACGAATATATGACGCGGTGGCGACTCAACGAAAAGAATCAACACACGGGGTATGTTTACACGGCTTCGCGAAGAAAACAGGAAATTCTTTCTTTTGTAGCTTTACCTCTCCGTATCCTTTCCAATCGGTGATTATTCCCTAACACCGTACACATACACACACACACACACACGAACACATACACGCTCTATTCGAGAGTACGGAAAGAGAAGAAGCCGCGTAAAGTCACATACCTGATTTTGCCTCTTTTCGCAGACTCGCCACGTAAGGAGCGCCTGCCCCTTTCTCCCAAAAAGAACTCGTTCCCTAGGTAGCTTATTTATTGAAATCGTGTTTAGATACTACGGAAACCAAACCGCCCGAGAAGAAAAACCTTTCCCTCGTATATGTATGGAAATCTGCACTATCCCCTTGTATTCTAATTATTTCCAATCCACTACCCCACTCTCCCTTTCTCCATTACACCTCATTTCTCCGAGCAAAATCACCTCTTTATTCATTGTTCTTCGTTAGACACATCGAACATTTTGGAAATAAACGAACTGAAGAAACGTCTCGTTTTATTTCTTTGGTTATTCGATGTTTCTTTTTTGGAATTTCATTTCAGTTCGACAAAGGTAAAGCATTTCTTTCCTTCTGTCATTCATGTATTCTCACATTCCAACCACCTTGTATTATTTTATCTCTAGCATCATTTCACAAGTTGTTGTACTTACTTTTTCTTCTCATCTCTTTTTACTATTACGTTATCAGTTTTAAATCCGAAAATACTCAATACCTGATTAGTTAATTTCGTTTAATTTCGTACGAGTGGCAATGCGTAGAGGGTTCTGCTTGCATCCTGAACAGTGTTTGTACGTGTCGCTGAAAAATTCAAGTAGACAGAGCAAAAGTTGTTCGTAGGAAAATGCCACGTTCCGTTTGACGAATCGAAAAGTACCCGCAAAAGTGGAAAGGGAAGAACGTTGTTTTATTCGAATCGCGTAGTTTTTGATATCTTCGTAAACAAACTTTTAAAACACACCAAACTCTTTCGACGAAAAAGAAAGAAAAAAAAAAAATACGTTTCACCGTGCACACTTTTTTCCATTCGTCTTCGTTTCAGAATAGACCGCGTTCACGGTGAACAGCCGCGAAAGTATCTACTTTCGTGTCTTTCCCGCGCTTTCGTCTGTCTGTACGCGGCAAGTGCAAGGCTGAGGCGCAACAATACAATTTCAACAGTCCAAAGTCCGACGCTTACAGTTGAACAATAGAAAAACTAACGTAAAGTGTAACGTATTGTATCGTAGCAATGATATTAACTCGAACCTCGAGAAAAAAAAAAAGAAACAAAAGTTAACCTGCTCGTTTCGTACGTGTTTGACGGTAACGTCGAATGGTCACAGCGATCCTTTTTCCCAGCGAATTTCGCTTGTTTTCTTGACAAGTAACCGTTGCACACATTGAAGAGTATTTACTTTAGAGAAGCGCAGCGATTCCCGATCGGCAACAATTCTCTCGAAACGATCGTGTATGCACGCCAGTTTGCTCGATGTCAAGTCACCTGGCGTTTAGTTTTTTATATCACAGAGACGTTCCCATTTTTTCTACGATCATGTTCGATGTTTCGGAAACGACACGTGTCTCTATATGTAACGATCTAGTTGCGTTCAGGGCGTATTACGAGAGGAATCTTTTAACCGCGTTTGTAGTATTTTTAACGAGGCGAGGATAATAGGAAACATTGTGTGAGATTTTCTGTCGCGTGACCTGACTTTGAGCATCGACAACGGCGTTGTATGTACCTACGCGAGCATCTTTCTTTGCGTTGTTTCTGTTTCCTTTTTTTTTTTCTATACTTTCCCACAGTGAACAAACGAGAACGGCGAAAGAAGGCAAATTGAAAAAGAAAAACAAAAAAAAAGAACACAGACAAGAAATGAATCTGACTATCCTATAGATAGATAGTATACATAATGAATAAAGAAAATTAAAGGTAAAGTATAAATGTTATATGTATAATTATTATATAATGTTATAGATAAAGATATATATACATAATTATATATATAATATTGAAAATGATGTGTATTGTAAGATATTTAATACTGACTTATCTTAGGCACACCACAGTGATCGATTGCGATAAAAACGACGATAATAATTATTACGATGATTGTTGTATAACGAACGACGACGACGATGATGATGATAATAATGTTATTCTACATTCTAATTCGCGTTGTAACATAGAGGCCCACCCGTTACCCACTAAATCAATGTGTCGATGTATCCCGGACGTGCCACGCTCGTCGTGTGCCCCCACGGTGGTGAAATCGGAAATTGCGTTTCCACAGAGGCGATGGACGGCTGGATATCGCTCAATAGGCAGATTTTTCTACGCGAAAGACCGGAATAACAAAGCTTATCTAATTGATCGATGTCCAGCGGATATTTCGCTCGTAGTTTAAAGATGATCGGTTTTCTCGAACGTTTGCACACGACTTTACGCTCTCGCAAAACTTGAGAATTGTTTGGTCCCCCGTTGCGGAAACAGATCGTTGGAACGAGCGCGGCACGCCCGGCAGCAACTAGCAATAATATAACATTCCAACTTAAATCGCGTGCGTACTGCGAATTCTAATAATGTGTGCCGCCGTACGAGAGAGAAAAAAAAACATTGTCAAATACACGCTCATACACTGCTATCTCTTGTGCTGTTTATTTCTATTGTTCCTCGTCCTCTGTGTAATTAGCCCTTTCGCTACGGCAGATTTTAACGGTTTAAAATTCGGTTGATTAAGTTGAGGTGGAAGTGAGAAAATGAAGTGTGGCGGGTACGTCGTCGTCAACAAACCCTTACCGAACCTCGTTCTATTCTTCCACGCGAACTTCAGATTTTAGTTTCCGTTCTTTTGTCTCTGCCCGGGTTAAGACTTGCCTTCGTCCTCGAGTGGCCTAAGAAGCGCACATGTGGCATCCAGGTTCGCACGAGGACGAACGAATTTTCCGCTTCCACCACTTTCTCCACTTCTATCTTTATCTA